CCCCCCCCCCCCTTCCCCTCCCGGCGTGGTCAAAGTAGTGCATCTCGAAGGGCTCACAGAGTGTCATCTTCATGTCTGTAAATCTACCCCCTCAGTGAAACTGGTCACTGATTGTCACTTCTCACATGTGAACACTGATCTGTACTCAGTTTCTGCTCTTCTTTCTTTTCTTTTCTTTTCTCCCCCCCTTTTTTTGGAGGAAAAACAAACATCCAACAACGATTATAAATACGGAACTCTACGAGACAACTTTCTACAAACGCCGGCATTGTAAATGAATGGACGGATGACTCTGCAGTAACGACCCTGCTGCGGCTTATTGCTGTGTATTAACCCATGAGGATCTGCATCTTTTCAAAAGTACAACTTAGAGGTTTTGTCCCAAAAAGGACGCTTACTGTTTAAAATAAAAAAAAATTGAATTTAGATAAAAATGATCAATTATCTTCCTTTAAAAAAAGAAAGATGTGCTGCAGATCTTATGATTTAACCAAACACCTTGTTTGCACTGTTCAGACTTCATTATAGCAGATTTAGTGTCAACAAAGAACAAATATGTTCTTAAATTACTTTCTGGTAGTTGGTTATGCAGGTTAATACACTTGAATAAGACTCAAATGAAGGGGACTGTTACTTGTTTTCTGTTTGATGTAACTTTGTTGAGTTGAGTGGCAGCGACTGATTACCTTGATATTAATGCTATTGTTCATGAATGCCTTTGTACAGTAGTGGATAAGAAGCTTTTCATTCTCCTGTTTTGTAACTTATGGTATTTCAATGTAGGTATTATTATTATGAATATTAATATTATTATTGTATTTAGAGGTATAAGCAGACTGGCAATATTTTTGACTATTTAAAGTAATTTTGAACTCATGACATTAAAGAAGTACCTCAGGCGAACTGTGTGTGTAGGCTGGTGGGATTTGTGTGTTTGCAGGTAAAAGGATTTATTCATGTGAAAGAATGAATGAATGAATGAATGAATGAATGAATGAATGAATGAATGAATGAATGAATGAATGAATGAATAGAATAGAATAGAATGTAAACCTACTGGTTTGTTGAACTTAGGTCACTGATTCATCAACCAATCCAAGACCATTTGGTCCCATGTTGCTGCGGATTAAATATCTGGCTTGATAAAAAAAAAGAGAAACTTTTAAGTTTACAGCCAAATCATTGCTAGTAGGTTCCCAAAGTTGGGGTTGGGACCCCCTCTGTGGGTCACGAAGCATCAAGTTACGGTCCCCAGATGATTTTGAGACATCAATTTAAATGCAAATAGTTTCCTAATGGAATATTTTCACCACAATTATTACAAAATATTACAATAATGACAAAAGAATAAAAGTAGTACCATAATTATTTTGTTTGTTTATACACTGTATAAATATGGGAAGAATCACAGCAGTAAAWCTGATGATACCAGTGTGGTTTAGAATCTTACCCAACATAAAAAAATAGTAGGATTAATTGATATTTGAATTCAGATATCAAGAACAACCCCCCCAAAAAATGGTTTAAAAAGTTGAACCTGTGAACAACCCCCCCAAAAAATGGTTTAAAAAGTTGAACCTGTTCATTTAGTGACCACACAACTCTTCTTCATTAACTCATATTAAAAAAAAAAATTCAACAAACAATCTCTGCTGCTTTATAAGATTTTATTCCAATGCAGGGGTGAGGTTGTAAATAAATTAAACAAACAAAGCAAAATCGTAATAAATAAAAATAGTTGGACAAAAAGCTAAAATGGACTTCTAAAACCGTTTGTGAACACATTACGGTGTAAAAACACTTGCAATGATTACTAAGTTCATAGTTTTAGGCAACCAGTCTAATCAGCCATGACTTTTTAAATCCCTTCTTTGTATTTCCTTCTTGTCATTTTGCACATTTTCTCAAACGTATGCAAATAGGCTGTCTCTTTTAGTCACTTGGTGTGGAGAACAAGGCAAAAGACTTCACAAAACAATATGGCTGGAAACACTTTGGAAAAAAACAGGAAGATATGAAGAAAAACAAATTTGATACAGCTTTACAGTCGTGTAACAAACAAGCAGTTACAGTAAAGGTAGGTGTCAACACACGACAGTTTAGTCAGGTGTAGTGGTGTCTTCTTCTGAGAGCAACATAAACATCAAAACAGACGCTGTCAGGGTTTTTATGTCAGGTAAGTTCAGCTGAGAGTCGAGTCCGGGCGAGATCTCAGTCTCCTGCTACATGACAAGAGTCGTGCCGTGGAAGAACACTGTAATGATAGTTAAAYGTATCAGGTTTGCTCTGGCAGAACAAAAATAAACTCTCTATGGTGCTCTCTAGAGCTTTTTCACGATGCATCATGTGTCACATGTCTGTGTTTTTACACAGACAGGTGACTGATTAAAGGWATGTTTTGGTAAAGTGAGCTGAACACTCAGCTGAAGCTGGACTGAGTGTTTCTTTTGTCATATTTTAATGATGAAAACCAAACTGCAGGGCTGCTGGATCCTCTTATTGTGAAAGTCAGGGATTGAGATTTCTCTTAGTCTGTGTGCTGTGTGTAAGGTTTATCTATTATAATTTAAATGCAAGAAATGAAGCAAAAAAGTGTTCAACGCAGAGCACAATGCAGTTCTCTTAYTTAGAGCTCATGAACTTGTTTCTTTCTGCTTGAGTCATGTTTGTGAATTCCCATGCTGCTCAGCATCACAGTCATCATTTCACACATATTTAGGTCCAACTCACATGCTGCTCAGTGCATTCAAACCTTAAACTACAACAAAAACTTTTTTTTTACTAGAAATAAACTAAAGGTGTTACTTACAGATAAAGCTATTCAGAAACTTTGTGATAAAAGTGCTGATCTTAGACTGGTTTTGTGTGTGCATGTGTGTGTGCATCACTGTGAGTAACAAGCCCTCCGTGTGCTACCRCCCATTGAGTGCAGAAAAAGAAAGATGAAAAAAATGTAATGAAGGGGTGGAGAAAGTGAATAAGAAGGCATTACTTATCAGCGCCTGGCCTGCAGCCCACACTGAGAGATTCTAACCTACACATCCAGCATTGGCGAGAAGCGTGACAGCTTTCACCAGCTTTGCTGTCAGAGTCCCACACATAAAGTTTTGGGAATCACCGACCACACAGCCCACACGCTACAGACTGCTAATACTAACAATCAGTACCGCCATCTTACTTACAAACTTTATGGCCCCTTTGTCAACCTTTTGTCATTTCCTGCTCAAAATGAGTACTGTCTGATTGGAGGTTCAGCATAAAAAATAAACCTTTGATGTGTTTCAAATTCCCAACCAGCAGCTGAGCAGATGGGTCGTCACATCTTCCTTCACCAGGAGAAAATGCTGTGAGCCAGGGATGGTAAACGACAGGAGTGGGGGAGGGGCGGGGATACAAGCTTTAAAGTTATTTGTCTGATTAGATGAGCAGAGTTGGCAAGACGGGATTCAGGGTTAGACACAAAGTGGGGGTTGAATGTAGGGCTGCCACCAATGATTATTTTTATAGTCGACTAATCACAGATTATTTTTTTCTATTAGTCGACTAATCGGATCATACGTTAATTGAATWTAAAACATACAGCTTATCGCGCCAGAATGCAGCTGCTATTATATAACCATTGTTAGTCCTGATGCATCTCAGTAATCCAGGTAAAAAATCAAAAAGAAAACAATTGTGTAGGTCTTCTGGACGGCTTCTTCTCTCCTCCAAGAGACTTCTTCAGTCTGAGAGTTTCAGGCAAAATTCACCCCCTAATTAACAATAAGTGTTAATTAGGTGTCAACTATAACCATGTGATGTGAGTATCAGTCACATGGAGGCCGGGCTTAAAAGCCTGAATTTTGCCTGAAACTCTCAGACTGAAGAAGTCTCTTGGAGGAGAGACGAAACGTTTCATTAGAGAAGAACCCATCCAGAAGACCTACACAATTTTTTTCTTTTTAACCACCGTTAGATTTTAGCTATATGCTAACTAAAAATTACTGCTGTGGAAGGCAAGTTCTGCTCTGCAGATATTGCACAGGTTTCTCTTTCATTTTCTTAAAATGATCCCACAATTTTGAGCTCCGTTGCCAGGTAGCCATGATACCAGAGCCTGTCTGTATAATGTCTTGTGACGTCCACAGCCTACCCCAGTTACCACTACTGTGCATGTGTGTCAAGGACAGAAAGGCAGATGTGGCAGTGGAAGGTGTCAAAGCAGTTTGGAGAGAAAAACAAAGCAAAAAAAAAACCACAAAACAAAAAACAACGACTAATCGATTATTAAATTAGCCATCGACTATTTTAATAGTCGATTAATCGTCGACTAGTCGATTAATCACGGCAACCTTATGCCCCTTTTCCACGAGTGCCACTTAGTGTAGTGTCGGTATGGTTCAAACCCATTTCCATTAGGCCAGATTCATGGAACCGGCCCTTTTTTTAGTACCTACTTCATTGTGGTTCCAAGCAGCCCCAGCTGACACCAAAATGTGATGTCAGAACATTGTTCGTCACTGATTGGCTGTATATTTGAAAAATTTTAAAATTGCAAAAGTTATTCATCAAATGTGCTTCCATCTCTCATTTTGCCCATTAACATTTTTTCAAAAAACCTAAAAACCACCTCCACCAACCGCCCAAAACACACCTATTGGAACCGGACTGGAACATCAGTGGAAAATCAACCGGTCCGACCCGTACCAACCCGCACCTACACCAACCATTCTGACACTACACCATGAAAAAGGGGCTTTAAGATGAATGAAAAGGCTATTTCACTAAACAGTTCTGTGAAATGACAGCATAGACTGGTCAGTCTCTGGCAGTTCATAAATCATTAACAGAGCCGGACACGTCCTGCGCAGACATGAGCTGTCAGAGACAAAGCAAGCGTCGTGGAACCAAAAGAGGCATGGAGCAGAACTCAGGTGTACTGACGTGGASCATAAAGCATTAAATCTGTGACAGACATGTTTTTTTAAACATGATGAATCAACTCAGTTTAGCGATTCTTTTAGTGGTTAACTGTTGAGTGTCATCAGAGATATTCCCTCAGTAATAAATCTGTTGCTGATTAATCCTGAGACCAGGTGGTCGATATGGACTATATGTCATCACATCAGCACAGATCTGCAGAACCAGCTTACTTTTCCACATCAACCATCTTGGCTGTTACTACCTCACTTCTTCTCGGCCCGTCCAGGGTGGGCTGACTTCAACCCCCACCCCGCTACCTCGGTTCACTCAGAAATCAAACCCAGGCCACCAGAAGGCATCCATGTCCTTGGGGTGTCTTGTGAAAGAGCCGATAAGGAAATGAGGCGACGTTTGATGGTCTACAATCTGGACAGTAAATCCAGTAATCCCAGTCTGATTCTCTGCATAATCTTCTGTTCATTTCTAAATCTACCATAAAACCCCAGATTACCAATCATACCAGTGGCATATTTTCTGCTGCAGACTCTCGATGGAGTAACAACATTCACACGCCTCTCAGCCCAGACGTCAGTTCCACTRCGTGTCAGTGCAGTGTTGTGGTGAGGTGCAGACTTTTTACAGTACAACTGATAACAAAAACTAAAAACTAAACATGGCATCAGTACATTCTGATTACAGAAACAAAACCCCAGTGATGTACATTAAAAAACAAAACCCACGTCCTTCATGTTGATGGATGTAGTGTGAAAAACGTTTAAACACGGAGGTGATCAGTCAGGTCTGRTTTTGGGTTAAGAACCAGTTGCGTGTGCGACTGTGTTTCGATGAGTGAACGTTTGTGTGTTTACAGTACAGCGCAGAACAATCCGTGTAGTGTCACAACGTGCTGTCGTTTATCTGATGCGCCTCTAGCTTTCCCAGTCYGGGCCTGCCAGCCCGTCATCATCTGAGTCCGAGTCTGGCGAGGCCTCCTTGATGCGGCGCAGCGCCTCGTGGATGCTCCTGGTTAGCGGGTCGGTGGAGGCGGGAAGCTCCTTCTGGTCTCTGCTGTCCTTACGAGGGACCCGTCGAAGTTTGACCCCCTTGCGGATTTGAGCCAGAATGCTGTTGGGGTCGTCGTCGTCGTCCTTGGTGGAGGGCAGGGACCGCTGGTCCACCTTCCGCAGGTGGAAGCTTCCTCTCTTCAGGGAGGCGAGCACCTCGTCCATGGGTGAGCTCACTGTGAGCAGGGAGGGAGGAGAACATGATTACTGCATTCAGAGAAGATATTTAGGACAAACTTGCCAATTAGGAAACCACACCTCTTCTGCTGTGGGAGTCGTACTCCGGAGTCTTCCTCAGCTTTTTCCGAGCGCTCACCAGCTGGCTGCTGTCGAAAAAGCGAGGGATGAACGGGCCGAGCGGTGTGAACAGGAACTCTTCCGCACTCGTCCCCTCAGCCTTTTGGCCGGCGCTCCCACAGGGCGACAGCTCCTCCTTAGTTGGCGGTGGAGGCGGTGGGGGCGGCGGCGGCGGAGGAGGGGAGATGGGGGACGTCAGCAGTGAGGACAGGGAGCAGGGGGAGCAGGAGGAGTCGGCTGGACTGGCCACGGGCAGGGGAGGAGCCGCCGCTGCGAGTGTGGCCACGGGCTGAGTGGTGAGGGTGGGGCTGGGGTCCGTCTGCATGCTGGTGCTTAGACACAGCGGCTGGTTCTGGGTCTGAACGCCCACAGAGTCCAYGCACTCCTCCGCGCTCCGGACGCTYTCTCKTCTTCTGGCGTGAGACGAGCGGAGCCGCGTGGACTTCAGAATCACCTGACCCGGGTGTCGCTGGGCCGAGGCACAAAGACAAGACCATCGTCAAGAAACCTACGAAACATGTTTGGATGTTTTCATCGCAGCTGAGGCTACACACCTGCTTGAAAGTGCGCAGCCTGTTGAGCGTTCTCTGCCTCTCCTGACTTACTCTGCTGTTCTTCAGCTCCTCATCCTCCTCATCTTCATTTTTCAGCTAACAGTTAAGAATATTTTAATGTTATTGGTAATATTTCACATGAGATTAGAATAATCTGATTGCAGAACAGTCATAAAGAAAAAAAACTGTAAACATGTGTAAAATGTCCATTCAGTTTTTAGTCCTTTTTTTTTGATGATTTTGTTGACAAAATATGAAGACATAAAATAAGCATTCATATAAGCTGCTAATTGAATAACTGTAGATCTTTTTTATTTCTTTTTCTTTTTTTTCGCTACCTTTTGCTGATCGTTAGGGTATGAATTATTTATGTATGTGTATGTAGGGATGTATGTAATATGTACATTTTCTTGTTAAATGGGGGCAGACGTTATAAGATTTTTTTCTTCTTTCTGCTCCTTTTCATTTTAATTTTGAAGATATCGTGTTTGTGTTATGTTGAACTTTGTTTTGTTTTAATTAAATGGAAAAGAACAAAACAAAACAAAAAAATACGTAATTTTTCAGCAAGTCCTGAGGACTGATCTAAAAGTATCTAATAAATACAAATTTAAAGAACTCTACCTGTAAGACAAGGTGGGACAGAGAGTCCTTATGGATACCTTGACGTCGCTGCTGTTTCTGAGTGTGATTGGTCACACAGATTTCCTGGAGAAAAAAGTGGAAAATGTATCACTTTTACCAAGTGACAAAACATATATATTATAAATCTGACCATTTGGTCTCATAATGAATAACTGAATTTACCCATAAAGTCTTACAACTTCGTAGTGAACAGCCAATAAAAAATGCAAAGTACATGCTTTATTGAATAATGTCAGTAGCCTAAGCTAAGCATTGTGGAAATGAGAGTGTGTATCGTACACACACCCTTTTGTTCCACAGATAGGAGCGCTTGGCATTGATGCGGCCCCTTCTTGCTTCAAGCTGTCGAGCGCTGGCCTGAAGTCTGCGCAGCTCCTCTTTCCCCGCGGTGTCGTCCTCCATTATATCGTCTGCACTTTCAAAGGTGTCATAGTACACCACCTCATCCTGATGCTCTGAAGGCACAAACGTGTTAACAAGAAGCCACGTTTTGTTAAAATCCTTCATTATTTCTTTAAGTTTCAGATCCCTCTTTTAATAGAAGAAATTCTTGTTCTCATCATTACAAACTGTCTCCACAACGGCAAATCAGGAACAAGATTTTGGATTGTTTTGTGAATTTATCAAAAATAAAACCCTGAAAAATGTTCATACATGTTCGAACTATAATTAAGTTAAAGGAGACATATGCTTTGAAATCCTTCTTTTTTCACATTTAAATCAATCAGTTGGGGGTCTCTAATACTTTGGTCTGAATTCCTTCTTATTGTAGCTCCACAAGCCCTTTTTGTGAGATGTGTCTCAGAYCAACTCTTTTTGAGGCTGTCTCTTTAAATCCAAACAAGGCGCTTCACACCCCACCCCCGTCCAGCTTCCAGAGCGGTCCATTCTAGTTTTATAGAGAGCTTTACGACTAGGGATGCAAGAAATTTCGGCCCTAATATCGGTATCGGCCGATATTGGTCATTTTTTAGAATATCCTATTGATCCGACAAATAAAACTGGGTCGATATTAATGTCCGATATTGATTTACCAAGTTTTAGATTTGTGTTTCTGTTTTGGGAGGGGAGATGTTTGGTTGAGTGACATCTGTTTGATCATGATAGTGATATTGATGCTGCGTAACCAGGAATAACTGAAGCAGGGAGCCATGTCAGAGGTCTGGTTGTTTATTTACGGTAACAAAAAAAGACCCAAGTGTGTTTGTGCGTATTTGTATAATATAATTTGTGTTTGTGTTATATCGGTAAATATTGGTTATAGGCCATAACTGCAATAATTATATCACATATCGATATCAGCTGAAAATTTAATATCGATGCATCCCTATTTGTGACTATATATATCTGCGCAGAAACTTTTTATTTACAAATTAATTAAAAGTTGTCAACAAGGGAAGACTTGCCCATCCAGCCTCACATGATGAAGCCAAAGTCTGACCCAGAGCCAGAGGAGAATGAAGAACAACAAAACTGTAGTTGGTAAGTTCAGACCTTGATAGTTCTGATGCAAATAATTTGATGAAATAGTTCAGAAAACGTTACAGAAAACAGAGAAAACTGAACGAGATGAAAAATGTGACCCAAACAGATATGACCTAAATATTTCTACGCAATACCGGGAGAGGCTAAATTAAACTTTTCTGCACTCCTACAGACTACAACAAAATACATTTAACAACTAAAAGATGTTTTTGTCCCCTTTAAAGAACCCATTGTCTTCATCATATAATCAGATACAACAAAAGAAAAAAAAACAAACACAAAAAATGTTGTTTAAATGCTATTGGGTCTTTCAGCACTTGTTCTGTCATTGTGGAGAACTCTATTAGGCTGTAAAGGAAATTTTAATTTAATCTTGAGCATTTTTAAATCACTTCATTGGTAGCAAACTCTGCACAAACAGAAGTAAGCAAATTAAAAATAAAAATACCTGTCATCTGCCTGCGAATGCTGTCTAGTTGTGCAGTGAGGAGTAACTCCTCACACTGAAGTATCTCAGCTTGTATGTCATACAGCTGGAGCTGCAGCTCGTAGTACTGTGTCTCCATGTGATCCAAGAGGGCCATCGCATCCTCGCTGCTGCACAGACTCTGCATCTGAGGGTGGGAGGGATGAAATCAGCAGCTGGAAAACAGCTGACTGTGCTGACGTGAAGCACTTTGAGTTAACGCGGTGCTGAGGGGACCGCACCTCGTCTCGAAGTGTGTGTTTCCTCTGCTCCAGGCAGATCTCCCTGGCTCTCTGCAGCTGCAGGGTTTCTTTGGCCACAGAGTAGCGCAGCCTCTCCATGCGCTCCACGGCTGCTGTCCAAGAAGATTTCCCAAACTTTCGCTGGTCCACTTTCATWCGCTCGTACACCCCTACGCACGGAAACACAAAGCAGTTAAACATGACGTGTGCTCCGTCATTAAGCATCCTTGCCTTTTATTTGACCAATAACAGAGAGACATCTACTGGCTGAATCTGATCATTACAACTAAACACTTTGCAGCTGAAGCAAACATTTTACACAGTTTTTTTTATCTGTACCATGTAGTTTATGATCAATAAGTTAAAGAGAAAATGTGCGACAAACAGGGTGGGATTCAGGAATAACCTCACAGACAGAGTCTGCAGACGAGAACTGTGCGATCAATAGGTTGTCCTTGATTCTTTCTGTTCCTGTTCAGCTCTCTCATTAATACATTAGCCCTGGGACTCAAAACCACACACAGGTCAATAGTGAGCCGATGTCACAACATGTGTTTGTGTGTGATTCATCAAAATCAGTCCTGCTGCAGTTTTAATGACTCGGCACTGACAAATAACGATGGTACCTTTCTGGGCTCTGGCAGTCGTCTCAAAGTATTTAACAGTAAACTGCTGGATGTTTAGGACTGCTTCTTGGGCTTTCTTCTGCCAGTCAGAGTCTTCCTTTTTTAGGGCTTCAATCCGCCTCGGGCCCAAGTAGTCATTGTCCAAAGAGATCTGATGAGAGAGGGTGAGCACATTTATCCACACTTAAAGATTTAAACATTTTATTCAATGAGAAATTAATCTGGGAGTATGAAGACATTTATGTTTCTTGTGTYTATTTAGACAGTCGTGAAAGCACTGACACCTTGAGCTGAAGTGCATAAGGCACTAATTAGAATAGAAATGTGTTTAAAGAAGCTGATGTTACAATACCAAAATGCCTAATTTATTAATATTTAGACAAGGATTTAATTTTTTTTTAACTTTGCCCTTTTACACAATTAAAACTGATTTAAAAATTACAAATTAATATGTGACTGAAAGAAAAGCATCAAAAGAAAAAGAGTTTGTCAAAAAAAATAGCATAATTGTTTTATGAATTAAATAATTTGTTGCCTTGGGCTCCCATTTCTCCCAGATTCTAATTGCTCCAAAACACGACTGCTTGCTGTATTTTTAAAGATCTGTTGAAATAAACACAAAGAACAGTTTCAAACCGGAGCAAAGTCCTCCCTGGGCTCATTCTAAAGAATAAAACCCATTCATACAGATAATAAATTATTAGTCCAATTAGAACAGTGGGCCTCATGCAAGAACCGTTCGTACGCGCAGATTTGTTCTTAAGTTGTGCGTACGAGTGATTTAGGAGAATTTTTGGCATTCACCAATGTTTTCGTATTCTAAGATTTTTTTCAGATACGAACAAAATTTACGAGTGGTCCAGACCTGTCGTATAT